CCAGAAGCCCGAAGCACACCCCTGAGCCGGCCGCCCCTCCAGGGCCCCGACCCCACCCGCAGGCCCAGCTGGGGTCGCGGACCTCGCTCTGGCTCTTTCCGCTCTTAAGGTCCCTGCCGAACCCCGAGAGGGAGAGGTGGCCCGCCAGGCCGCAGCCCAGCGGGGCACTTGTTGCTGGAAGGAGTCTGGGCCGAGCGGCCTCGGGAGGGGCGGCAGCGTTGGGGACTCGCGGGGAGGTGACAGCTTCAGCGCATTTCCCCGAGCTCGGAGGGGACCCACTTAGGCCACAGTGGGTCTGTTTGTGGCAGTGGTGGGGGCCGGGCCCCTCCCTCCAGCTCGGCTCTCTGAGCAGGCAGAGCAGCGTCTCATTGCTCTGGGCACCAGGTGGAGAGTTCCCTGGCCCCAGAAGGACTCGCCCCCAGGCACCCCCGGCCCTAGGGCGCCCCGGGGTGGGTTTGGAGGTGCCGGCCAGCCCTGCAGGCTTGCAGCTGGACCTGGTTCCTCTGGAGCCCATGAACTGATCTTAGGTGAGCAGGGCCATGTCTTCCCAGAGGGTCCAGACTGGAGAAAGAAAGGGCAGGAGAAGGAAGACACCGGTTCCAGAGTGGCCTTGGAGGGGACAGAGCTGGGGTGGGACTAGGGGATTGGACGTCCTGGGCTTTTTCTAATCTTTTGGACTTGGTGTGTGCTGTGTGACCTTGAGCATGCTGCTAAACCTCTCTGAAACTGGGGTTTTCATCTGTGTACAGTGGAGGGGCTGAGGGAGCTACAGAGCTGCTTCCCCTCCAGGAGTCTTTGATTCAGAGGCTCCCTGAGGACTCCAAAGCGCCGCTCTCTGCTGCCTGGGGGTGGGGTGCGTGGACCTGGGGTGTCTGTCCTGCAGGTGTCTATCCTCTCTCGCCCTCCATCTCCTCAGATCCGGCGCCGGAGGCCAACCCCTGCCATGCTGTTCCGGCTCTCAGAGCACCCCTCGCCAGGTAGGGCCTTCCCTTGCTGCCAGGAAGGGGGGAGGGGGCACTTTGTTCCTTGGAGGCTGAGATTTGGGGACAGTCACTGGACTCTCTCCCTCCTCTCCCCGCCTCTGCTGGTGCCGTGCTCGCGGTGGACTCTGCAGAGGAGGAAGCCTCACCCCACCAGGTGAGTCCCCCGCCAGCTCCAGGAGGGTACAGTGGCACCTCCGAGAGGGCCGGGGGCCAACAGGTCCTCCTGCACCCTCAGATGGGCAGGCAGAGGCCCTGAAGCCACAGCGGGAAGGGGGCACTGGCAGAGGCTGGAGCAGCTGTCCTCCTTGCTCTGTCGCTGCTGTGGTGGGGTGGCGGGAGTGGGGAGGGCACGGCCCCGGGAGCCCCTGAGCCTTCTGTTCCCTGCAGAGGGCCTCAGGAGAGGGGCATCACCTCAAGTCCAAGAGACCCAACCCCTCTGCCTACACACCACCCTCGCTGAAAGGTACCACCTGCCGTGTGCCCACTGCTCCCAGGGCGGGCTGGCCCTGCCGGCGGGAGGGGTGGCTTCCCACCTGGCAGCCTGAGATCGCTGCGCCTGCAAGACACAAGGGGCCCGGCGACTGAAAGGGCAGCTGGAGCCCTGCAGCAGGCTGTGGGGGAGAGGAGGGGTGGTCTGGGCCAGACGCCCCTTGCAGGGCGCCTTCTCCTCTCACCCCGTTTGCTGCCAGACCCTTCCCGTGACTGCTCCTCAGCTCTGTAGTGATAGGCGGGCCACCCCCATAGCCACACCCCTGGGCACTCAGGCTGGGGTTCAGCGGCACAGCACTTGCCTAGCATGCGTGAGGGACAGGAAAAGCTAAGGAAGACTTGGAGACTGGCCTCAGTCCCTACCCTCCTGGGTCCCTGGCCTCCCAACGTCAGGGAGAGCTCGCCGGGTGGGGGATGGACTTGGGTTTGAGGGCTCAGAGGAACCAGGACAGAAGGGTGACACAGAGGCTTCAGGGCCACCAGGCCTGGTCTCTGGCCAGGGAGTACGGGAGCCACCTGAAGAAGAAAGGGGTGTGGACTGGGGGTGCAAAGGGCAGCCCCAGGGCCATGCCCAGAGCTCCCCGGGAGGGCAGAGAGGTTCCCAGCACCAGCGAAGGTCACCGGGAGCAACTGCCGCTGTCTGCTGGGCTGGGCACGGAGGACTTGAAAGGAGAGGGACGGGAGTGGCCTCAAAGCGGGGCTAGGGAGAGGTGACTTTTCAGGGATGCGAGAAACCGGCCCTCATCCTAGCCCAGGTGAGAGAAAGGGGCAAAAACTGTCCCTGGGAGTTTTCTGAGGGGTGCTGGGAGTCGAG